TACTAGTATCATTAGAAGCAACTATACTAGTACCACCTGGAGCAACTGTACTAGTATCACTAGAAGCAACTGGACTAGTACCACCAGGAGCAACAGTAATAGGAGTACCAGTACTATTGCAACAATAATTACAACAAGCAATAGCAGCATCAGCAGTAATATTAAAAATAATACTAGCAAAATAACTGCCAAAGTCAGCGCAAGTAGGGTAATAGCCAATAGGAATAATAGGCATAGTAATAGTAGGAACAGTAATAGTAGGAATAGTAATAGTAGGAATAGTAATAGTAGGAACAGTAATAGTAGGAACAGTAATAGTAGGAATAGTAATAGTAGGAACAGTAATAGTAGGAATAGTAATAGTGGGCATAGTAATAGTAGGAACAGTAATAGTAGGGACAGTAATATTAGGAATAGTAATAGTAGGCATAGTAATAGTAGGAACAGTAATAGTAGGAACCGTAATAGTAGGAATAGTAATATTGGGAATCGTAATAGTAGGTGTAGTAATAGTAGGTATTGTAATGGTAGGAACAGTAATAGTTGGAATAGTAATAGTAGGAACAGTAATAGTAGGAATAGTAATTGTAGGAACAGTAATAGTAGGAATAGTAATAGTAGAAATAGAAATAGTAGGAATAGTAGGAACAGTGAAACCAGGACAAGCACACCCGCGATAACCATTACCATTGCCATTAATCACATAACCACCGTAACAATTTCCATCATCATTACCTGCACTACAACCAGCATTATTACAACTAGTACCTCCAGGTCCATTACCAGGAGTACCATAACAGATACAACCAGTTGGAGGATCTCCATTTGTAGCATGCATGGTTAAAAGTAATGCGACAAAGACACATGTTATACCTTTGATCATTTTTGTTGACTTATATGTGTATCGAACATTGAAAAAATGATGACAGGTTGTGATGTTACATGTTATTCATCTTAATATACATAGTAATCAATCAGAGAGAAAATAAAAAATAGAAAATATATTCATTTTTACCTGTCTTACGTATATATTTTTTTCTTTCTCTTCTTTAATTATAAACACCGCCAAAATATCGTCATATTCACTGATGACAACAAAAACAAATGACTCTATTACATGAATGATTAAAGATTCATTTTCGAAGTAGCGTAAAAGGGAAAAAATTTCTTCTGAGCAATGGAAGATAGAATATTTATTTTCGTTGAGACGTTTAGCTATTGTGCTACTCAAATACTATAACTAATAATTAAACCTAAAATCGAATTTCTTCCCTCAAGTGCATTATAATTTCATTAGTGTTCAGATATAATTGTATATATAAATTTTGTTTGAGTTTTCTTTCGTTGCTTTTGTTTATTTCTCATGAAACAGCTATATTAATGTGCACATACCGTGACCTAACATCGTTCTAATACGATATTCGAAGTATGCGTATGAAAGTAATAATTTCCTTTTCAATGTTTTTCTCTTTTCATCGTTCTCATTATATTTTGATTATTATGCACAGTGATGGCCTGTTATGCATAAAACAAATCAAAAATAAAGATGTCAAAACAAAAAATATCGAAAAAAACGATCGAAAGAAAAAATGTCGAACCTATTAAAATATCGAAAACTTAGAAGCTATCGTAGACATATAATTTAGTACTGAGGGTAAGGGTGAGGAGAAGAGTAGAGTAATCCTCACAACCTTATTAAATAAAGGTTTGACAAATAATGGAATTTACCTTGTGGAACTATTAGATGGTTTGTCGATAGTTGTATCAAAACAAAATAAATAACATACTACGGTAATCATATGTTGAGGCTGCTACTGAACTTTTGCCACTTTTGCCATTGCCATTGCCAGGTTTCACTTAAAAGTGAAACCTGTTAACATTTTTTATTCTATTTTTGATATATTAGAGAAGTTATTTATATCCGAATGATTCACAATCGATACACTTACCTTTTCGATGTTTTATCTTTCGATATTTTTTTCGACATTTTTAGCGTTCGACGTTTTTTTTCAGCATTTTCTTCGATCTTTTTTATACTATTTGATGACCCGACCGAATAATGTTTGTGGTGTAACACCCTCTAATAATTGTAAATTTTTGTTAGTTTTAACAGTTAAAAGGTTGAAAAAAAACATGCAGTAGGGGTTTCGAAATTCTATCCCAAAACTATAGGCTTAAATAGAATTGTTTTGGAACCCATTATTAAATAAAATCAAAATTTTTCGCTTCGCCAAAAAGACGATCATAATACAATCATAGCAAATCTAGAAATTTCTATAATCTTTCGTTTTAGCAGTATGTTACAGTGTTTTTTTACGTTTGAGAAGCTTCGTTTTTGAATCATCGTCACGAGTGTGGCCACCTTTGGCGGCAAAAATGCTTAATGGTATAGATTCTGTGCGTCGGAATACAGTATTATTACATAAGCGTAATCAGGTTTACAAAATGTGAAACTCAATTCGGGAGATTTTGATTGATCATGCTTTCTATAAAGCATAGCTTTGAGCAATAGTCGCTGGCGTGAACGCCTTCGACATATTAATATTGAGTAACTTTTCTAAATTCCGTATGAAGACAATGTTCTTCCTCAAAATACTGACCAGTAATATCGAATTTCTTTTCTCATTGTGTAAGATGTTCTAGGATCGAAAAAATTTGTTGTCACATATACAGTCAAGAAAAGATAACAGTAATTCTTTTGAAAAACAATCCAGTTTTATTTTCTATTCCTAACCAACTCAGAGCATCACTCTGTTGCTTATTCATTTTTTTATCTTTATTCTTCTCATTGTCTCTCTTTCTTTTCTACATATGCTTTCTTTATAGCATAATCTTCATCTAATTGTCTTATATATGAAGGAAAAACATTGACCAGGCGTGTATGAGGAGTGGATGTCGGTGTAGCAGTCTGCTTTTTCAGGCACATATCCATGCAAACACTCACATCCATCTCAGATAGTTTCAACAGAACGTTTCCGACTAATAACCTCTATTTAAACTCATATGTTATCTATGGATAGAGTTCTGTTGTGGATAGAAACTCGAAAAAAATTAGTGCCACGCGACCTTTCTTCTCGAGTATGGCCATTTTATGAAATTGATAGCCTGCTCTAGGATATTGTAGAAAACCTCAACAAAGGATTTCCATCTGGAAATTAATCTAATAATCGATCTCATGATCCCTATTGCATTCGGAAAGATTCAGCCCAAACAGATGGTACTCACCAGAGATGATATATTTTCAAAAAACTACTACTTTTTTTTATTATTTAAGATATGGACATATTCCATTTTTGAGATATCCCATATCTGAAAAGAAACTCATCCGTTTGAGCTACAACTTCCAGTACACAATACGAACCAAGAAATTTATTATTGCGAATATTTTTAGGTGGAAATGCCTTGTTGTATTTTTTCATAATACTCTCGATATTCTGAAAATTCAGTAAAATGACCATGTCTCAAGAAGAAAGGTCAAGTGGCACGAATCTCTTTATAGTTAGATGAAGAACAGACTGACCCATTCATATTGAAGAAGAGATAAAATCAATCTACTCTTCTCAACTCTTGTTTTTCAGTAATCGATTGTTTTGTAACATGTCCATGAATGTGTTACAATAACAAGCTATAATACTTTGTAAAAAAGAAATCATCGAAGAAATGTAGAACGTAATTTGTCAACATGTTTCGTATTGTTTATTGAAATTTACACACTTATTAGAGCTCTATATTAAAACTTTAAGCACGAGAGAATAAAAATTGAAAAAAATAAAGATATAGAATACAAATTCATAGTGACTAAGTGGAATAAGAAGGAAAGAGATGTGGAAATAGAAGTCAAATCATTTTATAAAGTTAAATTAAATCCGATGCGTGTGTATCAATTGTAATAAAAACAACAAGTAGTTTTATCTATTTAAAGGAGGGCTGAACCATATTCCACTATCAAAGAGAAATTGTTCCACTTTCAGCAGAAATGTTTCAACAACATAAAGTCAAAAAGAAACGCTTTTTTTGTAAATACACACCTTTCATTCGAACAGATCACTATAGGAACAACGAACAAAAACAAAGAGAACTGCTCCATCCAAGTCACCATTCATAAGCAGAAGTCAAAGAGACTTAGAGAGAAATGGATTGTTTTGATTTTTCATCTTAAGGGATGTTTCTAGCAGAAATGGAATTCTTCTATTAGAAATCGTTATTATTCCAGAAGTGCTTTATCCATATGTGTATTCACAAGCAGAAGTGGAAAATACTTAAAGATTTTATTTTTTTCTTTCCATTTCTCCTTGTTAAACCGTTTCTCTCTAAATTCAGATATATGTACAATATCGCATAATAGATTAAATGTATATATATATATGGTGTATTCTTTCTTTCCATGTCTGCTTGATATGTATGACTTTGTATGGGGTGAAACATTTCCTCATAAAGTGGAACAACTTCACCCATCGACTGGTCCAATGGTCCACTGTTGAGCTACTCGGGAACGGAGGAACGATCAAGTGAGCGTCTTCCGTCATCAACCACGTAGCCTCGCGTTCTCTAGTCCTACTATTAAGGGTACCCTCAGGTCCTTGAATTCTACAAATGAGAGTTACCCATGAGTCCTCAACAACCAGTTGGTGCAAGAGAAGAAAGCACACATCTTCTGGAACCTGACTGGTGAGAAAATGACTAATCCACTTCCGCACTGTTTTTATCGGTAGCATAGAACTCGAGCTCTAAAAATACACACTTCATTCGATAGAGCGGCCGAGAAAACGCAAGCATCGACGCAAACATCACTTATGATTCTGACCATAAGACGAACGAAAAGTCTTCGTGAAATCCCATTCATCCAGTTTTTCGCGAATTAGACTTCAGAAGGCCGTTTCTTTCTTATTGCTCGGACAACTACCAGTTATGTCCGGGCCAATCCTAGGGTTACCGAGGATATTGTATCGAATGAGGGGTATATGTGTTGGGTTTGGCCCTTTCTGTCTCTGAGAAATAGAATCTCACGATCTGACTGGTCTCCTGTTGATGAGGTGGATTTTAGCATGTTTTTTTTCTGTATTATCTCGGTAACTACTGGTAAAGCAGGATCTGAGAGTCCTACGGTACTCCTTGGAGTGGTTTGTGATGACTCGCGACACGCCCTATAGTAGGACTAAAGTACCCAAGGATACCCCCCCCCCCCCCCCCCCCCCCCCCCCCCCCCCCCCCACCAATAGTAGGACTTGAGGACCCAGGGCTACGCGGTTCATGACGGTAAACACTCACCTGACTGTTACCCCATTCTCGAGTAACTGGTAACTTCTTCGTTATCGTTACCGTTACCGAGTAACGATTTGGGAACAGTAACTTTCCACCCCTAACTATACCACACCCACACCCACAAATCACGCATCGCAATACCAGTGTAAGAAGAGTCCCTTGAAAAATGAATCATAACGACATTTTACCCTTCTCAAGTATCAAAATAAGAGGACCAACAAGAATATATTTCTTTCCATTCCTATCTTATGATATTGACTCAATGTAAGATAAGCAGACGTGTCGTAATTTTCCCTATCTTATATTTCTTCTATAAAAGCCCACACCATTGTCTACCAAGATTCATCGTGGGTGTGGGCGTGGGTGTGTGGGATGTGGGTGTGGGTTGTGTGTGGCTGTGGGGTGTGGCTGTATGTCTTTTCTTAACTCACACCCACATGCACACCCACACGCAACTACTCACTGATTAGATGCAGATTACAGAATTCCGACACATATTAACGAATCATTGATCTACTAGACTAATTCGCCATTCAAAAAAAAACAATGTGTTACGAGTCTACTCTACTGTATGATAGATCTTACCATATACAAGAAGAGACGAACATTTTTGCCCTCAAC